AAAATTTCATACCCTGAAATTCAATAAATGATTTTATATTTTCCGAAAAGTTCAACCGTATGTCTTTGCAAGCTTAAAGTAGGCAATGGATTATTTCTTTGGATATGAAAATGAATTTATCTATCTTTATCTTTCTATAGGTAACTCTCGAAGAAAGACAACCTTAAGAGAACATAAAGGGAAGCCACAGTATAGAAGTATGTTTATCTCCTACAAAGGGCCATTCTCTAGAATTAGATATCATATAGTCTGATAAGATAATGAACACTATACAATAATTGGTCAAAAGATTTGAATAGAAACTTCAGGAAACAAGATATGGGAATGGTTCATGAGCACATGAAAAGATGCACAATGCATTGGTCATGAGGGTAAAAAGTCAGTACTGCAATGAGGTATCATTGCATATCTGTTGGTATGGCTAAAGTCAGAAAGTCTGAAATCTCACATAAAACACCTGGATGTCTCATATAGCTGTGGGAATGAAAAATAGTACAACCACTTTGAAAAGCTGACTTCCAGTTACTTATAAGATTAAACAAATACAAATCCTATGGATAGTCATTCCATTCCTAGGTATTTACACAATATGTCCACAGAATTATCAGCATATGAATGTGTGTAATAGCTTTATTATTATGCCCCAATTATGACTGCCCCAAACTGGAAGTGACACAAAAGTCCAGTGACAGATGAATGTATAAACAGGGACGAAACACTTGAAATCCTACCCAGCAATAAAAATGTCATGAAGTATTGGTGCATGTAGGAATATGGATGAATTTATTTTTTTCAAGATTTTATTTCTTTATTTGATAGAGCAAGAGAGCACAGGTGGGGGGGTGGCAGACAGAGGGGGGGAAGCAGGCTCCATGTGGAGCAGAGAACCCCACATGGGGCTTGATCCCAAGATCCTGAGATTAAGACCTGAGCTGAAGGCAGACGCTTAACTGACAGAGCCACGCAGGTGCCCTGGAATATGGATGAATTTTAAAATCATTGCACTGCACTGTATGATAGAAAGCAGATATAAAAGAGGATATATATGTATTTCCAGTTATATGAAGTTGTTAAAACTGCAATGATCTCTAGTATTGTTGGTTCCCTGGGTGTGAGGCTGGAGGCAGTGATGGACCGCAAAGGGGCACAAGGGAAGTTGTGAGGTAGTGGAAATGCCCTGTATCTTGACTGTAACAGAACTTTCATATGACCTCACTGATATGAGGAATTCTTAATCTCAGGAAAAAACTGAGGGTTCCTGGAGTGGTGGGGGGTGGGAGGCATTGGGTGGCTGGGTGATAGACATTGGGGAGGGTATGTGCTATGGTGAGCACTGTGAATTGTACAAGACTGATGAATCACGGATCTATACTTCTGAAAAAATTAATGCAATATATGTTAAGAAAAAAAAAGAAGAAGATAGGAGGGGAAGAATGAAGGGGAGTAAGTCGGAGGGGGAGACAAACCATTAGAGAGGATGGACTCTGAAAAACAAACTGAGGGTTCTAGAGGGGAGAGGGTGGGGGATGGGTTAGCCTGGTGATGGATATTAAAGAGGGCACATTCTGCGTGGAGCACTGGGTGTTATGCACAGTGAATCATGGAACGCTACATCAAAAACTAATGATGTAATGTATGGTGATTAACATAACAATAAAAAATTATTTAAAAAAAATAACTGTATGCTTTAAAGCCATGCAGTCTATTGTACCCAAATTATACCTTAAGGAAGTTGATTTCACAATCTATTGTACCTCTCCGCAGGGACAATTAGTAGTGAGAAAATGAAATTCAGTAAAACGCAATAGAGATTAGCATCCAAAATTATTAAATGCTTATGAATATATAAAAATGAAGCAGACCCAAGAGCCCTAAAAACTATTGCTGTGAGAAATTGAAGAAGTCTAGTAAACAGAGAAATAGGTAGCATGTTCATTGATTGCAAGACTCAGTTCTGTTAGGATAACAAAGTAACATTATTTTGGTAAATATTGCTGTAGATATTTGTGAAGAAAATGACAAACCAATTTTAAAATGTATATGAAGGGACGCCTGGGTGGCTCAGTCGGTTAAGCGTCTGCTTTCAGCTCACGTCATGATCCTGGCATCCATTCATTAAAATGCAAAGGCCATCTACAGACCAGAAATGATTATTTTCAATGTATGTATCTGACTAAACACTCATCCATAATATGTCAACAACTCTTATAAATCACAAAGAAAATGAGAAACAACCTAGTGTATTAATGAGCAGAAATATTTTAAAAAGCCCATCCCAAAAGAAGATATCCAAATGATTAATAAGCATATGAAAACCCAATAGGATATCTGCGAGATTGGTTTCTTTCTTTTTCTTTTCTTTTTTTTTTTTAGTGGACCCCGACACAGGGCTCCAATTCGCGACCCTAAGATGAAGACCTGAACTGAGATCAAGAGTTGGATGGTGCCCCCAGAAATGGTTACTAATGCACCCTCCTCTGTTCACTAGATACGTGGCCTTGGGGAGGTTTGTAATCTTCCTGAGTTCTTGTTTTTTTTTTTTTTCTTTTCTCATCAGGAAAATGATAGCATCTTAATAATAAGATAGTTCATTGGATTCATTACGATCACCCGGAAGTTTACATGAACTGTACTTTTTGCTAAGAATGTATTGACCTTGAATTCTCCTTTATACATCTTTAAAAGCACAGACAGACAGTTGGCAAGGAATAGACAAGTTGTTCTAAAATTTCACATTTCTAGAGAGAAATCATATATATAATAGAAAATTGGAGAGGAACAAATTTTTATTGAACAACTTTCCCAATACCCTGAAGCATGTCTACTTTCCATTAAGACCGGAGATGAAAGTCCTGACTAGGTCCAACTCCTGCAGTCTTCTTGGTCTGGAGGGGTCTGAGAAAGTCCATTCTAGACCTAGAAAGATCTGGACTCCTGGACAAGTGTTCCTCAGAAAGATAATCAACTACTTACCTCTAAAAGCCCTGAGCAATCTGTGAAACTGTGGGTGAGGTTCAGACCAGCTCAACTCTATAAGCAGGACTCTCCCCTGAATCAAAGCTGGAATATTGATAGATATCATTTCCAAAATCTCTGGTATAGGCCATGGCATGCTCCATAGGAGAGAAAACAGGCACATGAATATCAATTGAGAGAAATAGCAATCAACACACAAGAGCCATTATTAAATAATGTCCACCCCCACTACAACCCAGGAAAGTTCTCATTCAAAAGCCATGTTTTAAGGAATATGTAGTTAGAAATCTTCACGATTTGGGGCTAGAAGCCAGTTTCTTAAATGGACAAGCAACTCTGAGAATAAATAGATAAGCTGGATTTCATCAAAATTAAAAGCTTTTTGTTTCAGAGGACACTATCAAGGAAGTGAAAAGACAATGCATGGAATGGGAGAAATTTGCAAATTGTATATCTGATGGAGGTCTGCTATCTAGAATAAATTAAAAAAACAAACCCTTACAACTAAGCAGTAAAAGACAGCCAATTAAAAAATGGGAAGAAGAGTTTGAGTCGACTTTCTCTAAAGGATAAGAACAATCTAACAACAAATACTTGAAAAGGTGCTCAATAACATTAGTCATTAGGAAAATACAAATCTAAAGCACAGTGTGATCCCTCTTCCCCCCACTAGTATGACTTAAAAAAAAAAAAAGATAATACATGCGTTGGGAAGATTGTAGAGAAATGGAATTCTTACACCTTCCTGGTGGGAATGTCAAATGGTGTAGTTGCTTTCCTTTGAAAAAGAGTTTGGTAGATTCTCAAAAAGTTAAATAGAGGGTACATATGACCTAGCAATTCCACTCCTAGGTATATAGCTAAGAAAACTGAAAATATATGTGAACATAAGGGGAAAAGAAGACTACATAACACATAGATGCAGGAAGAAGAATACAGAGAGAGTTAGAATAGAAAACAGTTTCATAATGAATTGCATAAATTAACTTTGGTTTTTCCCCTGTGTTGTGTGTGTGTGTGTGTGTGTGTGTGTGTGTGTGTTTTGCTTTAAAGAAAGTTTCCTTTACTACATATTGTAAATGGAGGAAGATCCAAATAAATTTAAAAGCTTGTCAAATACAAAGCAAACAAAGATAACGAAAGTGCTAGCATGCTTCTCTTGTGTTTTTAATGCACAGAGGAAAAAATAAAACACTAAAAGACACAGGGAAGAACATCATGACAGTTTAAGACATTGGAATCTATCCCTTATTATAAAAGCCTTAAGATCTGTTTGCCCTTAAAGGCAAGTGGGATGAGTTCATGACAGCCCTAAGAAAACCTGTTGGGAGGGGTGACTGAGCGGTTCAGTTGGTTGAGCATCTGACTCTTGGTTTAGGCTAGGGTCATGATCTCACGGATGGTCAGATTGAGCGCTTTGTCCCACTCTCTCCCTCTACCCACCCCCCATTCTCTCTCAAATAAATGAAGATGAACAAAACAGTAAACTACTTGGGAAACTATTTCTGCCTTGGTGATTTATACACACACAAAAATGAACAATCAGAACTATGCTGAGATAATTTTTTAGAAAGAGATGGGAACTGTGGTATCAGCACAAGGGTAGACAACAATTGAGAGTGGCCAGTGAGGGGTGGTTCCCATCAGTGGGGACCTTCGGGGGGACCGGGCAGTCTTGTGTATCAGCACGGCCTTGGCAACTGGAAGGCAGCAGCTCCCCAGGTTCCATGTCATCTCGGATGTTCCAACTCTGTTATTTCAAGTGCAGACCGTTACCTGGCATTCTGAGTGCTCCCTCTGTCATTCCGGTTGGAGTGTGAGCTAGGGGCAGTGCCTTTAGCTTTCAGCTGTGGTATCTTGAACCTTGGTTTTGTGGTTCCTGAATCTCAGGTGCTGTGGGGTGTTGTTCAAATTGTTCCCAACAGTAAGTAAAGACTTCCTGTATCCTCACCCCTCAGTCCTGATGAAACCTACTTGATTTCACTGGTTTTTAACCATCCTGTGTTTGGGTTTCTTCTCCTCAGTCCCCAGCTCTACCTCCTCGGCCACACGTCACCATGGCAGCACCTCTTGGCCCTCTGTCTGATCCAGGGGCAGAAATCAGCCTCCTGGAAATCAACCAGGAGCTTCAATCCCAGCTGGAAAAAAGCAAGCAGGACTTCCGAGACCTCAAGGAGAAATTCCTTATATCCGAAGCTACTGCCTACTCCCTGGCCAACCAGCTGCAGAAATACAGTAAGTCCTACAAGATCAGGGCCACCAAAGACATGTCTGTCTGTATTCCTTCTGAGAAACTAAAAACCTCTCCAGATGCTGTCTTCTCTCTTCCAATGTCACATAAATTTCATTCTGACCACAATCCGGGAAATGTAGAAGTGGGTATTTTATCCTCAGTTTGCTGAGGATGGGAAAACTGAGGACAAAGAGGTTAACAGTGACATGTCAGGTGGGGTTAGAGTTAACATCCCAGTTCCTGCTTCCTGGTGCGGACACAGAAACGCCTGGTCCTCTCAGGATGGTCTCTGTGCTGTATCAGATCCTGCATGACTGCAGGCCTAAGTGTCAGGGACTAAGGAACTCTCTCAGGTCCCGCTTCTCTGAGGTCCCATTGGTAAAGCACCAAGTTAGTTACACTGGGGAAACATCCTGATGGCACACCCGGGGGCGAGAGGGAGGGTAGCAGGTGACACTACCTGCTTTCAAGGAGATGGAAGTGGTAAGTGGAAAGTGGAAAGAAGGTCTCCTTTCCCCCTAAAACTGTGGTATCTGTGAGTGATGCCATCCACACAGTGACTCCCCTTGTGAGAGGGAACCGGTGCAGAGCCTCTGCTTCCTGAGTCCACGGAGGCCATTTGATACCCAGTGGCAAGGGTGAGGGTGTTTCAGGGAACATCACGGTCTCTCCCTGAGCTGGGGACCTTCAGACATGCAGGATGGCCAGCAGGTCCAGGCCTGGGCCAGGAGACATGTGGCCAAGTGAGAAGGAGGGTGAGTGGGGGAGACCACAGCCCCGGGAACCAGCCAAGCCAGGGTGTGGGGCAGGCCTTCCCCCACAGTCAGCCTGAAATGGGGAGCTCAGCTGCCTGTTCATTAGGAGGGGCCTGCGCTGGCAGAAGGAGTCATGAGAACGGGGCACGTGCACAGCCGATCGATAGGAAGGAATCCTGACAACTCCCAGCCCGCATTTTTGTGATTTTCTCACAATTTGCTTTCAATAGAAAAAGGGGAGATGTAATTAAAAACGAATGATGCAGAGAAAAAAAAACTGAGGCATGCTTTTTACGAAAGGGAAGAGATGATGAGCTTTCAGGGAAGGACAAGCAGTTTTGTTTACAACTTTCCTGAAAATCATCACATAAGTGTGGGAAATCAGTTGTGAAGATGATGCAAACAGCTATCACCTGAGGGCGTGGGGTGGCGGTAACACAGCACAGGGGAGAAAAGCATGGGTTGTAGGTCAGTCAGCCTGGGCTAAATCCATGGTGCCCAACGTCCTGTGCCTCAGTTTCCTCCTTGTTAACCTGTTAGTGTTGTGGGACCTACTTCTCTGAGTCAGAATGAATACTGAGTAATTTCTTGTAACGCTCTAAGAGCAGAACCTGGAACTGTGTAACCCTGTTCATCATTCTACTGCTTCTCATAACACAAACTGTATTAGGATTGGGCCATATTCCTCTCCGGTGCTTCTGGTTTTATGCATTGTGGTTTCCACAAGTGTAACCGGATGAATTTTTACCTTTGAGATACTTGTTCAGTATAGAAATCCCAGCTCAGGGGACCCATCAGTCCAGTAGCCCTGGGGGCCTTACGTCATGTCCCTGCTTAGTGTTTCACTTAGGAGTCTCCAAGGCTTGCTAGAGTGACCATGATCAGGGGAACCTGAATTCTGACTCTACCAAATACCAGTTCATCACCGTGTCCAGTTCCTCTCTGTGCCTTGGGGCTGTTCTTTCCTGGGCTCTGAAACAGGGAGTAATCGACTGCCCTGTAGTTGGGAGGCTGAGGAATGCGATGTGGAGCTCCCAGCGCAGAGCCAGGTGGCCGGGGTTCCAGTTGTCCTGGGATGGACCCTGCCTCGTCCCTTGAAGGCAGCGAGCACAGCAGCATGTCCAGCTTTCCCCTGAGGCAGGCGTCTCTGTTTCTCAGAGTGTGAAGAGTCCACCGACCTCATCGAATCCGTGCTGGGAGAGAAGGTGCAGTTTGAGAAGGGGAAGCAGGCAGACACGGTGGCTGAGAAGCTCAGGTAAGGAAGGCTCCATGTGGGAGGCTGCACGGACGCTGTGGGCATCTTTGACTTGGGGCAGCAACAAGTCTGGGCCAGGAAAGGGCAGAAACGTCATGGCAGGCACGTGACCCAAATATTTCTAAAACAACTAAGACAACAGTGATTGGTAAATGATGGACTCCAATGATTCAAAGTCTCGCTCTCTCTTTGGAAAAAAATATCAAAGTCCCTAAGTTCAAGGGAACAGTTCGTGGCTTTTAGCACATTCACAGTGTTGCGAGATCACCACCTCACTTACCTTTCACAGAGTCATGACCTGGCTGACCACAGCTTGAGCCTGCCATTCTCCTGAGCTCACCAGTTCACACCAGCTCTACTGGACATGCTTCTGTGTCTGGCGCTGTGTCCTTTCACTGCACGCTGCGCTGTGTGTAGTTTTCCAGGGAAACGGGTGTCCCCGAAGTTAGCAGCTGAAGGGACATCTCTCTGGCATGTGCTTAGGAGAACCCCTGGCTCTGTTTACAGAAGGAAAAGGTGTAAGGGATGTGCAGGGTTCACGGCTCCTTTGGGGAAATTCTGCCAGAAATCATCACGAAAGATCTTATTGTCTGTTGTTCAACTCTTTGCATTTTAAAATTTTCTCTCTGCCCTGCCTTAGGCTATGTCATACCCTCATTAAAGACCAGGCTAAAGAGCTGACCCGTTTGTATCAGAAGTTACGGAAAGGGAAAGACGTTTCCCAACTGCTCAATAAGCTCCTCGAGGACCTCCTCACCCATGATGACCCTGAGCATTCCCAAGGGCAGGGCTTCCAAGAGCAACTGGCTGAGGGGCGCAGGCTGGCCAAGTGCCTTGCCCGAAAGCTCAGCCCAGGTAAGGCGGCCACCGGCCCTGATGCCCGGAGCTGCGCCAAGGCCCTGGGCTCACAAGAGACTCCCCGCCTGGCCTCACGCCGTGTGCAGCAGCCCTCCTGGGTTCCCCATCGCAAGTGGGGCCATGAGAGAACCAGGAGTGGAAGGTGGTAACAGAGAGCAGAAATGCACAGTGTGGAGGAAATAGTGCTCCATGTGTCTGCTTCCTCCCTGAGGGAATGCAGCCTTTGGAGCAGGAGGCAGCCTCCACCAGTCTTTGAGCCAGAGAGCAAAATGTGACAGGAGGATGCTTGTTAGTGTGCAAGGATCCCTGCACTAAGTGGGAGGTTCCCAGAGTCAGCGTGGTCTGTATGAATTATGGGTGAGAAAGTGAGTTTTACTTTCTCCATATCTGTCTCCTCATCTGGAAAGTATATCAAATAACCTGTTGATACTGTAGTGATCAGATAGGGAAAATTCATGAATGCATGTCAGGAAAAAATAATGCTCCTGACTGTGTGGAGTTGGATGAGGTCCTTGATGCAGTAGGACTTGGAGGTGGGAGTGCTGTTTAGACGGGACCGCTTTTCGTAGACGGATGTCCCCTTGATAACACTGAAGCCCACGTGGGGGCCCATGAAGTCCCCGATGGAGGGATGTGGGACAGAGTGGTTGTCCTGTCGTGAGGGCAAGGAGGCGGCTCTATGTGAGAGCTGTGAACCCACAGAGAGTCTGTGGCTGTGGTGGGACCTGTGGCACTCTGCAAGACACGGTGCAGAAATGAAGCTGACAAGCATTCCCTGATATGGACAACAAGAACCGGTAGAACCTGTTGCCCAGGTTCAGTGATGCTGATCCTCAGAATCAGAGACACACTGCCTGACGCATCAGAAATCCATGCCACAGCAGTTCTTAAGTACAGTGCCCTAAACTCAGTAGAATACCTAGTCATTCATAGACCCTTAAGTCTCCAGGGACATAAAAGCCACTGTGTTTATGGTGGTGATGTGGGAAACAGCTGATGGGACATTTCTGAATTTATTTGCAGAAAATTATGAGGATGAGGAGGATGAAGAAGAACAAGGAACCCTCACTCCCAGGTGACAATGAAAATTCTGGAACCAATAATGTGTGGGTCAAAATGGACAGGGTCTCAGAAAGTAAAGTAAGGTCAAGAGAGTGACAGATGTCAGATGCAAGGTTAAGCAAAACTGCAGATGGTCCCCAAAGGATGGCCGTTTTGGCTTGGTTGCCTGTTGTCTCTGTGGTATTGTAAGACCGAGATGAATTCACCAGCCTTAGGATTCCCCGTGGGGACAAAAATACCCATTCTTTCCTGTAAATGGACACCGGGAGGAGATGCATATCTACTTCCTACACAGTTCTCTAAGGTCCTT